AGCTGGTCGTAACCCGAAATGTTCGTTAGTAGAGGCGTTCGTATCCTGAGGTACCACTGTAATAGGAGCATTATTATTACTATTACTACTACTACTACTACTATTGTTGTTGTTGTTGTTGTTGTTATAGCACAGAGAAAAGAAATTCAATTCTGTATTTTAAATCCAGGCTATTATTTTAACACATTTATTATATGGCTATAAATACTGTAGCTTGGCATTTCAAAATGTAGTGCAACATAAAACTATTGAGTTCTGGTTTAAAGAAAAATAAGAGTTAGCCTTTCAGTTTGCATATTAAAATTGTATGTGTTTGCGTGTGTGTGTATGTGTGTGTGTGTGTGTGTGTTGCAGACAGAGAACTTGCATGAAACAATCAAATATTTTATTAACCAGACTCTTGAGCAAGAAATATACACATCCTACATTAACCAAGCCATGTTCATATAAAATAATTTCAGAAATGTTGTGTTCCTTTAGTATTATTTCATGTATTTATTATTCCTCACCCTTTTTTCCCCAAGACAAAATAAAAACAGCTAATACTGTAATAAAATATAAGAAAGCCAAACAAACAAAACAAATGTCAGAATAATTAGTTCAAAGCAATTCTATTCATGCCAAAGATGATATCAGCAATGCTATAATCCATAACACCTCAAGCATCTTCCTTGATTGTTCTGATTAACCCTATAATTAACATATTTAAGTTCTATAATTTTTCAGGAATTGTGTTAATCTTACTGAGTAATTTCATCACCAATGCCAGGGTGGTACTCTTTTTGGAAATAGTGAAACTTTGCTCATTTGCAGACAATAAAGTTGTAGAACTTCCCACTAAGGCAAACTTTATTTGTTTGGGTGGTAAACAATGTGATGCAAAGCTCAGAAAGGGAGCAAGGAATCATAAACCAAAGAAATTATATGCACGATATAAGGAAAGGAAAGGAAACCTAGCAAAAACTACTTTGTACCAATAACGTTCACTATTCCTTTCTAGACCTTTCTGTTCCACCACATCCATATTCCACTTCATACATTGCCTTTTATTCTTTAAAGCTTCATCTTTTTCTTTGAGAAACTCAATAATCCCATCTGAACAAAAGTTTCTCAGCCTTTCCCTTCCTTTGGCCTAAGTGGCACATGCCACATTCTGACATGCATTCAAGAGATCTATATATTGACACTAACAGCACACTTATGCACACACCCAAATATCCTATGTTCACTTGTGCTGTTGAAGGGTGAGTAAAGCAGTTTTTGTCATCGTGGAAATGGATATCTAATGATCACAATTCCCCGTCCTACTTTTTCATAGGAATTTGTCCTAAATACTACCCTGAAAGATCCATGTGATAGATGTTCAAAATGTTATTGATAGATGTAGTATTAATGAATATATTTCAACAGCTGGTTGATAATTATCACTCTTGAAAACATCACCAGTATCTGCAGATGTAGGTTATGTAGATGGTAATTAAATTGTAGACAATATCACATTCAGACTGACAAAAGAACGTTTTATTGCCTTCCCTGTTTTCTGTTTCCAGTTGAAGAATTGTTAGCCATTCTAATTTATCCCTGTAAATGAACAGTAATCTTGGAATCTTGTTCCATGTAGCACATGCTTTTCTCTTTTGCCATGTGCTAAATTGATCTCCCATCACTTTAACATCAATGTCAGAAGTCAAGCCCTGGCATAATTTGGATTTAACTATGCTATTACTCACAAGGCATGCAGCTTCTATCAGTTACAGTGGTACTTAAGTCTGTGAACACTTTTGAATTTTCAATATTACTGCATAAATATGACCTAAAACATAATCTGTTCTCCATACAAATCCTAAAACTGGATAAAGAGAACCCAATTAAACAAATGAATCAAAAATATTATATTTATTCATCGTTTTATTGAGGAAAATTATCCAAACCTAGATATTTGTGTGTGACAAGTATGTCAACCTTTGCTTTCAGTCACTGGTATGTCCCCATTGGGCAGCAATAACTGCAACTAAACATTTCCAATAACTGTTGATCAGTCCTACACATCAGCTTGGAGGAATTTTAGCCCATTCATCCTTATACAACAACTTCAACTCAGGGATGTTGGTGGGCTTCCTTGCATGAACTGCCCACTCAGGTCCTCCCACAACATTTCTATAGAATTAAGGTCAGGAGTTTGACTTGGCCATTCCAAAACATTAACTTTCCTCTGCTTTAACCATTCTTTGGTCATATGACTTGTGTGTTTTGGCTCGTCTTACTGCATGACCCACTTTCTCTTGAGCTTCAGTTCACAGACAGATACCCTGATATTTTCCAGTAGAATTTGCTGGTACACTTCAGTTCCATTAGTGATGGCAAGCCATCCTGGTCCAGAGGCAGCAAAGCAGGCCCAAACCATGATACTGCCACCACCATGTTTCACAGATGGGATAAGGCTCTATGCTAGAATGCAGTGTTTGCCTTTTACCAAACATAATGATTTTCATTCAAGCCAAAAAGTTCTATTTTGGTCTTATTCATCCACAGAATCTTCTTTTAATAGCCTTCTGGCTTATCCACATAGTCTTTCACAAGCTGTAGGCAGGCAGCAAAGTTCTTTTTGAAGAGTTGTGGCTTTCTCCTTGCAACCCTGCCATGTACACCATAATTCTTCAGTGTTCTCCTGATGGTCATCTCCTGAACACTGCAAGAGGCCTTTAGTTCCTTAGACATTACACTGGTGTTCTTAGAGACCTCCTGGAGTATGGTATGGTATGGCTGGTCAGTATAATGGGCTGTGGGAATAATCTTGGGAGACAAGAGGAAGAGCCACTGCCTAGAAAACGGTATAATACCAGACATCTGAGTCCAAAGGAGGGATGGGAGTGGAGAAAGCCTCTTAGAAGGGACCTTCCCTAGTTCTCCCATACTCAACCTTGATTATCATCCCATTGATTGAAATACCTGACTCTAATTTTCCCTTCAAATGAACTGATATTCCTAGAGGTTTACATACTTTTGCCATGCACAAATATGTAGCTTTGGATAATTTTCCTCAATAAATTAATGAACAAGTATGTTTTTGATTCATTTGTTTAATTAAGTTCTCTTTATCAAGTTTTAGGACTTGTGTGGAGAATAGATCACATTTTCAGTCATATTTATTATGTAGAAATATTGAAAATTCAAAAGGGTTGAGAAACTTTTAAGCATCATTGTATGCAAATGGTTGAAGCAAGAGATTGTATGTTCACTTGGATATTGATTATAATCTTAGTGCCTTATTATGTTAGGATTTTTGTTTCATGCATAATCCATAGTTATATGTTATAAACCATCAGTATAAGCCATAATTAAACCAAGGATTTTACTGGCTGTTAGAAATTCACTGCTTTATGTATTAAATTAGGATTATGAGTATTATACTGAGAAGCTTGGTTATAAAGCTAAATGATGCTTGTAGAACAGAACATTAAACATACTTGCTTCAGTATCTTGGAAATTCTTTGGTAACGTGATTTTCAAAACATTCTGCAGATTTTTTTTCTTAGTCGTCTAGATAGTACTATTATAATATGTGCACATTTTTAGATTCTTAGCAGCCAACTTTAAGAAAAGCAAGGTTCTCATAAAGTCTTCTTTAACAAGATTTATTTATTAAAAAGGAGAGAGATTGGGATACAGAAATGTCAACAACTGAATTACTTTCATTTTAGAACCCAATTTATCTTTCAGCTTGCTACGGCAGATACTTCTTCAATTTCTTTCTAATGTCCCTTCTAAATAAGCAGGTGGTCTTCTGTTTCCTTGACCACCAAGGAATATGCAGGTGTCTATGAATGTTTTCCCAACCAGCTCCAGTATTTTTATCAGGAACAAATATATTACAAATGCTTTATATCTTCACAATGCTCCTAAAGGAAGAATTACTTACTTAATTATTTTTCTGATGGAATTCGGCTTGGTATGTGTAGGTGAAATGCCATTTATTTAATAAACATGCATGATGCAACAATATTAACCAACAGGTCATGGGGAAAAGCAGAATACAAAACTCATAACAGACGAGATAAAACTCCTATTCTGGGGCATATTGTGAGCACCAAGTTTGTAAAGGTTTAAAAATCACAGCAGGGTTGGGGCATATGGACATCAAGGGAATGTTCTCCATAAGGCAGGCGTGATCATGGAGAAAGCTCTCTAATTAGATGGAGAGCTACCTCCACCTGGCTCCTATCACAACGGCACGTGTTCAATCCCTCTCCACTGCTGGTGTTAAATATTGGTTTATTGTTATCTTAGTACTAATGATATTGAAGGCTAACCTGTTTCATGAACAGGGTTTTAGCTACTTTTCAAAGCATAGTTAAGCAGATACTCAATTTCCAATAATCTTAGTGAAAATACATATTTAAATGGTAAACGAAAGCTGAGAAGGGAATGGTGGAGAAAGAAAGGGACCAGTGAATCTGTGGCCTGGAAATTTAACCATGGAGAAGTATTGGGGCAACACTTTCTTGAGGCAGTTTTCTGAAGTTGTGAGCTTGAAGTCCTATGAAATTCAGCATAATGATTTTTCTTCATAGATAATTTTATAATATTTCTTGGATGATAAGCTGTAACATGGTTTGTTTGCTTTTGAAGTTTTGTATTGTTGAATCCAGACACTGTGGTTTATTCAGAGAGTAAGGGTTAATCAAACCATGGTTTAGAGTACAGATGTGAACCAGATCAGTAACTTTCATACAAATGCAGAGTTCTACATGGAAGATAAGTCCCCCGGTTATTTCAGTGGTACAACCATTCTATATAGGCAACTTATCCAAATATAATAATCTAGGGATATGCATAAAATACTATAGGTAACTTTTTTTTTAAAATTGGAACATAACAGTCCATCTTGAAATGTACTCTCAGAACAGTTGACTTGGCTATGTTTCCTTGTAGCTAAACTCAAAATAACTTGTGTGGTGTTTTAGCCACAAAGCAAAATTCTCTGAATGAACATTCCTGTTCTGTTTCAAGTTTGGAACACTTGAAATGATCTAACCTGAAGTTGGAACAGCTCATTTCACTGCTATTTTCCATGATGGTGCTGCTCAAAATGACCAGCTTTTGTTCTGAGGCCAGCAAGTTTTATTTCCAGCTGAGAACATTAAATATAGCAGTTCTAAACTCAAAATATTGTGTATAAATCTTTTTTGTTTTATGGTGTTTCATGAATATAAAAGAAACTCACATTTATAGCTATTTTTATTGTTTGCATGAAGAACTTCCAAGTAAGTCTGGAGATGATGATGATCAAGTAACAAACCCTGTTAGAATTATCCTTTTATTTCCACACCAGCAAGCATGCATGTCCAAGCCCCTCACTTTTTCTGAGTATCTATAGAAACAGGATAATATCAGAATCCTGCAAATAATTCTTAATCATCATAAAATTGGAGGACAGAATGGATTAGATTATGTTCCTCTTCAGATTATCAGAAATTGTAATCTTAATTTATTTACAATGTTATTTGTAAGTGTAACAAAAAAATTCCCCAAAGAAAGATTAGCAGACATGCCTCAAATGCTTTTGGTGATTAAGACAGTCAGCTTGTATCTTTTAATGTTGTGTCCTAACATACTTTTCCTTTTGTTACAGTTTGTATTTGGAATGTCAAAAAATGAATTAACAATATGAAGGAGAAACTAAACTTCTCACTTTCAAAGGAAATCAACACTGAAGTATAGCCTTTTAAAATTATGTTTTGATCCAGGAATCTTGCAGGAAAAGAAGCTAGCCACTGAAGCCTTGCAGATTTGTTGTCTTCTCCTGCCACCAGCGAATCGTCGCAAGCTACAGTTGCTGATGACTCTGATGGCTAAGATCCAGTCAAATAAAGATCTTCCACCTCTTTCAGATACACTCGGAACAAGAACAATGGTGTGTGTCTACCAGAAATAGAAATACACTATGAAATCTTTTTGGAATTGCTCCGGGGAAGGCTCTGCTTAGTTACAAAATAATGACTTGTTCTAGAAATAAGCAGTATTCTGTGCAACACAGGGTGTGGCTTGTAATATTCTCTTGTTTTTTCCTTCTGCCAGTATAACTTTAAATTAAATCCCCAGGCTGAATTTCTCTGCTAAAGCAGGTGCAAGTTGGCAGCTACAGCTCTTCCCACCTATTTCCCACCACAGTCCTTTCATCTTTCTGCACTGCCTGCTGTGCAACATGCCCAGTTTTCTTTAGATTTACAGCAGCTAGCTGAGTGGGTGATAGAATCAAAAGAACTTTGGAAAGGGAGTTGAGTGGAAGGGAAGATATGTTAATTTTTTTTGTCTTTTGTTAGGTGTTCCATCCATAGGTTGATCCCATCTGAATGTGTACGTCTGAATCAGTGGGCTACAAGCATTAATGTTGACACATATCCCTGACTTATGGGATAAGAATAAATAACAAATTCAGTATATGGTGTGAGATCTGATCTCACTGATTTCTTCTCTGTTTCAGATGGTTCAAGCCTTTTCTCGTTGCATTCTTTGTTCTAAAGATGAAGTGGACTTGGACGAACTATTAGCAGCTAAATTGGTGTCATTCATGATGGACAATTATCATGAGATCTTAAATGTTCCTTCTGCCTTAAAAGCAGCAGTTGAGGAACATATAGCATATCTCCAAAGAGTCCAGGTGAGACCTACAGGGTTTAATATTCTCCTGTATATGACTTCTTTACTACATTCTGAAAACCAACCTAAATAAGCAGATTAAAGTTTTCTTGGAGAATTGCTATTACACTTCCTTAAGTTGACAGATCATTATCTATTGAATCTTTTACCCACCCTTCCTCCATATACCCAGCCTTCTCCCATATACCTCTTAGTTGGTAGGATGCAGAGAATTATGTTGTCTAGCTTCTAAATTATAGATCCTAGCTCGCATAGAATAGCATTAGCATCATGGGGTAAAACAGGGCTTTGGTTTCACTTGTGGCATACTGTCCCAAAATATGTCAAAACTGACTGGTACTATCTTTATTGGTAGGAGGGTACATGCTGCATGTGGCATCGATACAGCTAAAGCTTGTAATCTAGTTTATACCTTCTTTAGTAATCTAGTTTATATTACTAAAAACCATTATATGAAAGCCTTGATTGACCAATGCTGTGATGAGTAGTCAATGACTGTGGGTCCATTATGGGGACAACCACAACATATAGAAAACTTTGATGAAATGTAAAAGAAATAAATGATAAACAACATGAATTAATAAATGAAAGAAGATAGGTATCTTATGTGTCTGTGACACGAAGAGAAAAGGGAAGACTATAATAGGCTTGAATGAAAGAGGGTTGAATCTTCTGGAGTTTGTGAAGATTTGCAAGGAAATGAAGGTGTGATTTAATTATGAATGAAAGGGCTGAAATGCAGGTAAAAATATGAATTGATGTAAAGTAGGTTGTTGTATGTGAGTTTGGAAGTAGGAAGCCATAGGTTGGTAATAGTTCCATGTTATACTACAGTGAATGGTGACAATGGAAGAACTAGGTATAAGTTTTGGGCAAATTGTGCAATTTTTTTTTATAATAATTTTTATTGAAGCTTAAAAATACAAAGATAAAAAACTAATACAAAGAGAAATATAAAAAGGAAAAAGGAAAAAAATAAAGAAAAAAGAAATATAAAGAAATGAGTTGCCCCTTCATCAAGTACAAACAATTTCAGTAACTTATCACCTTCACTAGCATTTCAACCAAAAATCTCTTCATCTCATCATTTATCTATTATCAAATAATAAAGCTTCATCATTAAATCTTAATCAGCAAAAGTCCATTAAGAGTAAGCCTCCCAGAGTCACCCTCTGGGGGAGATGAGCAGCATATAAATTTAATAATAAAATAAAATAGTTACCAGAATTAACAATATGTATATGTTAACCTTAAACAAATCAATTTCATATTCCTTTCCTTTCCTTTACACAGTGACTTATCATTTTCTCTAATGATAGGTTCGAGAATTCATTCAGTCCTGGTCAAGAGAAGCCCATTAAAAGCTACTAGGAAAAAAAATCATATATTTTAATTTTCATAATTCTTTTTTTTTTTTTGCTTTTAAAAGTTTCAATGTTTATTTCTTTTAATTAATATCCCAAAAGCTGAGTTTTTTTCATTCTGTCTTTATCTTTTCTGAAGAACTCCTTCATAAGTATAACACATCTCTTTTGTAAATCAAAAATAAGAAAGTTGTCCAAGACGCTTTTCTGAGTTGAAATCCACATATCCAAGTTACTCTTCTGATTTATTATTTATGTGTCCCTTTTAGCTATTAAAACATTAGCCGTTTCATTTATAAGTCCTGTGTAACATTTTTGTCAATACCATTCTTGTAGCCTGTCCTTTTTAAATCCATATCCAAAGCAGTCTGATTCTTAGTTGTATCCTCTTCTATCTCCTCTTTAAAACCCATGTTTATAGTAGCAGACAATCTTAAAAGAAAGTACTGAGTCCACTGTTGCCAAATATCCTTGAATGCTTCCAGAGTTAAAATACTTTTCTCCATTCTGTAGTAGTGGGTCTTCCCCTTTAACTATGATCTTTAGTTCTTTCTGGTTGCCTCTAGTAACCAGCCTTCAAGGTCTCCTCTTATGTTTTTCTCGAATCCACAACATTTCCCATGGAAAGATTTCTTACACTTAGATTCAAAATCTTCATATATTTTAATAGGGTTTTGAACAAACCACAGGAAGGATTCTTAGAATTAGTTTCAAAATCTTATTTCCAGTCAATCTAGCCTCTTAATCCGTTTATTAACTTTCCAAAATCAATGTTCTAATAACCCTTTTGCTGCTTATTTCTGACTTAAAAAAAAAAAATCTTTAAGTTCTTAGACTTACATGAAACTTCTTTCGCTGAGGATTGAAGGAGAATCACCCAGTGTGATGAATCATGTCCTTCTGAAGATTCTTAATATTGAAAAAGCAATTTACAAGCCATCCAGAAGTGATTAAGAGAGGAAGTGGGCAAAGCCAGTGTCCCTTTGAAGGTTCTGAACCACGGATTGGGCAAAGCTGACTCTCCTGGCTCCCAGAGCTCCAAAACCCACCGGAGATTGCTGTTTTATGATCTCGTCATGGGGAGTGTCTGTATGGAGCACTGTGGGCGATCCTAGGGGAGGAATTTTGAGGCACCAATCCATTTGCCAGCTCCTCATTTTGCTATGGTTGTTGGTTCCGCAAAAAGTGAAGCCGTCCTTGGTCCGCCATCGCTTCCCTGGAACAAATTGTACAATATTCTGAATGAATGTGAATGAATTATTGTCCTAGTTGACATAGATGGTTAGATAAGAACACAAGACATTACAGAAAAAGAGGATGGCCATTTAGAAACCGAAGAAAGAATGAAAATGGTGACAGTGTGATGAGTATCTGTTAAGGGAAACAACTTTGTTTCAGGTATGTGATATAAGCAATAATTTATTCATAGATATACATGGCAAAGGAATTAATATAATTCTAAAAATAAATTTGACTGAAAAGATTGAGATGATTAGTAAAGGATAAAAGGGTGATGAGATTTTCTGAATTTGGAACAGTCCATTTTTTATTTTTTTGGTAGAATCAAGAGTGGATCTTGGGGAAAAATGGACATGGCAAAAAAGGAAAAACATGAAAGAAGCAAGAGTGAAGTTACAACTTCAGGAAGAAACTGTATGAATCCTATATGAGAAAGTATTAGAAGATAGATTAATCTCCCAACAGATTAAATGGAAAATGGATCTAAGAAAAGGGGATGTAAGGTTGCTAAGAACAGAGTAAAAACAAACATGCTCTGATTACCAGAGAATTGTATTGAGTTGTGCTAATGGGAAATATGAACTGCTTGCAAAGTGGAGTAATGAAGTGAGGGAAGCCGTGGATTAGGGAAAAACACACACACACATACATAAGAGAATGATTTCTGCACAATTGAGGATGAGAGAAAGATACAGCATAAAAAGTATGTCGAGAAAAAAGATAGTTGCAAAGAACGTAGTCTAAAGAGGGCATGAAGCAGTTAATATTAAAAGAGCCAGAGGAAATGCATAGTGATTTCAATGGAAATAAATGATTTATAAATAAATGAAGAGGGCTAAACAAAAAGCCTCAAACCAAGTGAATAGAATTTTAGTAATTAACCCTGTGATCACCCATAATTATATTAAGGGCTAAGGACTGTTGAAACAAAACAACCTTCAGGGATCCTTGGAATGATGGGAGATCAGAATCATACATATCTCTCAAGGGAGTGTATTCTGAAGTGTGAGGCTATTACTAAGAAGCTCTGATGCATACTTCATACGCTTGCATCTCATAGGGGAAGAACTTTCAAAAGGCCTTCTCTAGAAGCTTGAACTGGGTGCATTTCCTGATATATCCTATGCCACATCATATAGGATTTTATAGGTAATAATTAGCACTTGTGTCTGGATGTAACAGTGTAGTGATCTCAAGATAAGAGCAATTCTATCATAACAGGTTTTCTCTGCTAACCAGCTGGCCCCTCTGTTCTGCATTAATTAGAGTGTTATCACTCAACTTCAGAGGCAGCTCCACATAAAATGCATTGCAGTAGTTTAATTGTGCAATGATCAGGGTGTAAGTTACTGTAACAAGGGTTTCATAGTCCAGATACAGTCATAACCGACGCACCAGTTATAGCTGGGCTGGGCAAAAGTCCCCCGGCTATGGCTCTCTCTGATAACATTGAATGAGGGAATACTGGGAAGAATATTTTAGAGATTTCTGTGGAGATAATAGGGAAGTATTAAAGAGTGGAATTAAGCTAGGTGTTATAAATGTTAGCATCCAAGAAAAAGAAATGACAAATGCTATAAGAATATATATGACTACAGGTGTAGATGGTGTAACTGGAGAAATGTTAAAATACAGATGCAGTTTGTTTATGGAGTGGCTGTGTGACTTGCTTAACTGGTGCATGAAGATTGCATGTGTGCCTGATGATTAAAAGAATGCTGTACTCTTATACAAAGAGAAAAGTAGCAAGAACTACAGATAAATGAGTTTAAGTATGCCTAGAAAGATGTTTCTCAGAATTCTGATTAAACAAACACAAGAGGCGACAATAAGCAAAAATTGAGAAGTGCAGTGAGGACATATATTGAGCACAGGGTGTGCAGAAAGTCGTTAGCAGGTTGAGAAATGTATACATGTGAAAAAGAAAGTTTATTATATAGTTCTTAATTTATAGAAAGTATACAGATTAATAAAATGAAAAGGCTTCAGTGATATAATTTTTTGCAGAAATGTGGATTTGAAAGTGCCTGATCCTAAGCATACATGAGACTAAGGCAAGAATGTGTGGTGTCCCTTTGAATGATTGTTTATGTATTTACAGATAAATATATAAGGGATACTTGGGTGATAACATTTGTGTTGCTTAGGGACATAAATCTACTTATACATTTGGATGCAGAAAATGCTGTTTTTGGCCAAGAACACAAATTATTTTCTGAAAATATTAGGTGGATTGTATTAAGGAGTATGAATTTCAAAATTAATGCATCAATGACCAAGGTAGTATGTTTGACAAGGAAAATAGAGTACATGATTGCAGGTTACAGTAGTTCTTGTTTAGCAGCTACCTCATTTAGTGACTGTTTGCAGTTACAATGGTGATGAAAAAGTAACTTTATGAACAATCCTCACATTTACGACCTTCACAGGTCTGTAAAGCAAAGGGAAGCTGAAGCAAGATCATAAGCACAGTCATGGTTTCACTTAGTGACCACTTCACTTAACAACCAAGTTGCTGGTCCCAATTGTGGTCACTAAACGAACTACTTGTATACAAAAATGGGAAAAGTTTGAGCAACTAGATATATTTCTGTACTT